TAGCCCCCATCTAGACTTTGCGCTATTTCTTCCTTTATGGTTGCTATCGGTGATTTGTATTTATAAATTTGCAGGACCTTTGTTAGTGCCCATAACCAGAGTCAAAAGCTGAAAAGAAAAAATTTGGTTAGGTGGTTGCGGGTGAACTTTTTATGTGAATTTTTTAAATTCTTTTCCCCGCTTCGGTGATAATGGTAACTCTATTATTTCTTGCAACTTGCTCTTTTTTGAAAACTCGTTTGTTCTTATTGGCTACGTAAATGATTTCTCCAGAAAAACATACTTCGGGTGTTTGTTGTCTTTTGCTCGTTCCCCTGTCTATTTTTTTTTTGATTTGCTTGAATTGCGGCTATAATATCCTCATGCACTTTTCTTTGGAAGTCGTGTAGCTTTTGGTAGTTGAAACGTTGTGTTTTTCTAAAAAAAGATATCCGCTGGTTTTTTCATAGTAAGAGAATGTATTGAGGTGTTATATCTGTCGACTACCATGTTTATGATTTCTTTCAAAGATAGTTCTCTATATTCTTGTTTCAAACACCTTGCCATTTCCTCGATGGTTGAATGTACTCTTTTTATGGCCCCATTTACTTCACTTTTTTGAGTTTTAATCAAGTATATCTCGATTCCCAAGGTTCTTAGATAGTCTTTGATGATTGAAGTGGTAAGACTTGGCTCGTTGTCCATAACTATCATTTTCGGTATGCTTCTTTCCACATTTGTATATAGATAGATCTCTGGAATTTTGATTATATTGGTCACAAATGGTGATAATTTTCCTTCAATGTCCTAATCAGTTCGGGTTTGGTGATTGTTGTGAAGCTAACGTAGTGTCTGTTGAAATTCGGATGCGGTTCTTCATGAGCTATGGTTTCGTTTCCTACGCTAATTATTATTTGATTTCTAAATGAGTTTATAAGCCCTTCGCAATGAGGTATCAAATCTGAGCTGTCTTCTTCGGCACTATGAGGGGTATCCGTCGATGAAGAGTCCTGAGGTTCGTTCTTTTCTACAGTGTCCGTTCAGGAACTTCTTGCGTCTTCATTGCTTAGGATGTTAACCTCTGTTTTTAATCTAGATAATGCATTCACCACCTTATTGGTACAGCCAGGCTTGTAAACTATTTCATAATTGTATTCTTCGAGGCGGGCCTTCCAACGTTTTAGTTTAGCGTTGTTATTTCAGTTACTTAGTGTAAACCTTAATGGTTGGTGGTCTGTGAGGTTCTTAATTTTTTTCGCGTCGTAAAGATAGTTGCGTAATTTATCTAGGGACCATTCGATCGCCAGCATTTCCCTTTCGTTGGTTGCGCAGTGTTCCTCTGTCTTCTTGAGTGAGTAGGAAATGTATGTTATGTGTATGTCTCATCCTATATACCCTTGAGACAAAATTTCATCATCAAAACTCCTATTGGTTGGTTTGAAGCCTCTGTTGTCAAACTGAATGTTTTGTCGGGAAATTATGAAGTCGGAAAATATTAGAAGGTCGGATGATGAGAGAACTTCCTTTAGGTCATTAAACGCTTTTAATTTTTGTAAATTTTAATGCTGCGTAATAAAGCTTAAAGATATTTGTTTTTGTTTGAAAAGTTCTCTGTTTTAGTTAATAATCTAAGGTTTTGAGCTCAATTTTCACCTTATAGACATGTTATTTCTAAAATTTTTCCCACATTTTGTTATACCAAAATAAAGGTCAGAATATAGAGCTCCTCTTCTCGTAAAAAAACGAAGAACATTAATATTGACCAGGTGTACAGGTATTGATTGCATCATTCGAGCAATCATGCCGTCAAAAAAAGAAAAACACAAAGCAATGCTAAAAGTTACAATCAGCGAAAAGCTCTGTAATCTAATTGACGATAGTGTTATATCAAAAAAACGCAAAATAAATGCAAAAGATGATAACTTGAAAAAAGAATTACTTAAACTTAAAAAAGAAAGGGAGGAGCTAAAAGAATTATTAAAAAAGTTTTTGCCATCTACATCACAGAAAAATTCTAATGAAAATGAAAATTACTTTTCACCACTAATGGATTTAACCAACACAGAAGATGATATGACTGATGCGGATATTATTGATAATATTATAATCAATGAATTAGACCCGTACAATCTAAAAAAACTTTTTAAAAGCAACAAAGAAAACAAAAAAACAACTCAACACGAAACAAGTATTTCACCTCACGTGGTATCATGAGACAGAAGGAAACAAAATACAAAAAAAATGCCCCCTACAAATCTTTTTTTTTCTTATTGGTATGAAAAGAAAACTTCCTTTTATTCGGAATAAAATAAAACTTTAACTAACCGGAAAAGAAAACTTCCTTTTATTCTTCAAAGCTGAGAAGAAAATCAGCTTTGATAAAGTGCGTATGTAGCGCACGAAATATATTAGCAAAAAAGTAAAAAAAGTGTTTTATTCCGAATAAAAGGAAGTTTTCTTTTCATACCAATAAAAAAAAAAAAGAATTATGTTTCGGGAAAACCATTGAAAAAAATTTTTTGCCCCCTATAAATTTATTCAGCACTGAAATCAATAAATTAAAAAATCTAATTAAAAATAAATTAAATATGACAAACTTTCTGGTTAAGGAGCACAATGATACACATGATACTGTATGCACATATAATATTGAAGAGTTTAAGAAAACACGAAATTTACTTCAAGAAGCTGGTATTGATAACTACACCTTTACACCAGGCAGTTTAGATATTCATACAAAATTTAATAATATTGAAAACATACTAAAAAAACACAGTACAGATCAATTTTTTTATATGCTTGGAATGACGTCTAACCAACAATATGACTAACCTAAACAATGTTTACAATTTGATATCAATCAATGTCAATTCTCTTATCTCCAACAACAAAAGACCTTCTCTTATCCACTTCCTCAATAATAATGAACCTGACTTTTTATTTGTAAGCGAGGCAAAGTTAAAACAAAATAATAATGTTATTTTTGATAATTATGAGATGATTAGACGAGATCGATGTCATAATAATGGAGATGGAGTTGCCATATGTATAAAAAAAACTTTGAATACAAAGCAATTAGCAGAGAAATTTTTGGCGAGTTCACATGTATTGAACCATGTGCACTATTTTTGGAATTGAGAGGGAATAAAAAGTTATATGTATAATTTCAATCTATGCACCAAACCAAAATTCGTGCAATTTTATCTATGAATTACATTAAATCTTGCAAAGAAAATAATTTTTTTATAGTAAGTGGTGATTTCAATGCCAAACACCGTAATTGGTGCAATTTGTACAATGGTTCTAGAGGAATACAATTAAATAATTGGCTTAAGAACAAGTGCGTTCCGTACAGGTTACAATTGCACAATACAGTTGGACCTACATCTACAAGGTCTGACGCATACATTGACCTTATATTTAGCGAATTAACAAATTGGTAACAATACCTTATGATAGCGACGACAATGCCATTAAAATCGAATTTTCTTTAACAAATAATGATACACTCTTTAGAGAATTGCCAGGTAACAATAACTTTATAATGGAAATAATTTAAATTTGCAAATTGAAAAAAATTAGATCAAAATTTTGAGCTACAATTTCAAATGAAACAACAAAATATTTGACAATATTAATCTTAGTAGAGAAAATATTGAATACCACTTAGAAAAAATATATAGTATAATTATAAAAACAGTAGATGAAGTGGTCCCAGAAATGGAAATTCGAAATAATGGCGCGAAATTTTATTCCACGACTCTAAAGAAACTGTTAAAGAAAAAAGGTAGTTTGATGAATGACATACACAAAATTAGAAAAAGAAATAAAAATTTCTCGCCACAACAAGTTCAGCTCCTAAAAAGTCTTTCAATTAATGTTAATATTTTGATAAAAGAACAATTAAAAAACGAAACGAATAAATATTGGCAAAATAGACTTAGCAAAATATCACCAAAAAACTCTAACATCTTCCCAGAAACAAATAAAATATTCAAACCAAAAAACTTTTCAAACATAAATAATTTACATGTGGATTCTTGTGCAATTGTAACAGCTAACGGCATCGACCATACTATGATAAAAAAAACTAATGATAACAAATACATATATTATAAAAAACCAGAAAGGCATATACAATATACTTAGTTCATGCATTGAGAACACACATAAAACTACTGTGCTTAATGACAGTTTTCATATAAGAGCAAAAAACAGAATTAGTGAATTTACAAATCGCAACGAAACAAGTAATACATACACTCTCACCAACTTTAATGAAAATAATAAGGCTTCTCAGCCAAATGACACAAATAGCTACTTCACAAATTTAAAAAAGATCAAAAATATAACAAAAAACCTCAAAATAAAACATCATTTGGAGCAAACGGAATTTCTAATATAGTAATAAAAAACTTAAGTAACAAGATCTTATTTGAAAAAGGAAACAAAAATATTTGAAAAAGGAAACAAAAATAAACGTAAGAGATCCAAATTATGTAGAGGCGTTTGAGAAATTGAAGAGTTTAATAACAAGTCATCCGATACTTAGATATCCGGATTATGAGATATCTTTTACTTTAACGACGGATGCGTCAAACTATGCCATGGGTGCAGTTCTGTCTCAAGAGGGACATCCAGTTTTCTCTGCATCACGAACATTAAATAACCATGAGAAAAATTATTCCGCTACGGATAAGGAATTTTTGGCAATAATGTGGTCAGTGAACTACTTTAGGCCATATCTTTACGGAAAGAAATTCAAAATCTTAACAGATCATCAACCAATAAAGTATCTACACGCCAAGTACAAAGGAAAAGATATGTCACCGAGATAGCAACGATGGTTATTGAAATTGGGAGAATATCAATTCGAAATAGTTTATCTTAAAGGAAAAGAAAACAAAGTTCCAGATTTTTTAAGTAGAGTAGAAATTAATGATGATAAAGAAAATAATAATGATAAATTAGAAGAAAGTTTAGAAAATTTTAATATTAAAGAAGATGCAGATGACGTTACAATGGCAGCGGTACATTCAGCAGAAGAAGAGTTAGGAGATTATATAGGGATAAAAGAAGAAATAGTAAACAAATATAGGACTCAAATAATAATTACGAATAACAAAATAAAAGAAACAGAAACAATTTTAGGTAGAAAAATAATATACATTGAAGAGTATAATTTTAATAATTAAGGTGAAATGTTTAGAAGAAATATAGGTAAAGGTAGAGTAGGTATTTATTCTGAACTGTCGGACACACAATATCATATAGTACAGGAAAAATTAAGAGAAATGTATAGTAATAATAATCATTTAAAATTTACGAAATGCTCCTATAAAGCTCAAGAAGTAGAAACAGAAGTCGAATCAACAAAACAAATATCTTATTATCATGTTAGGGAAAGTGTACATTCAGCTATACAGGAGACATATAATAATATAAAAATAAAAATTTATTACCCAAGGTTACTAGAGTTAGTACAGATAGTCATCAATCAGTGTGATATTTGCAAACAGGTAAAATACGACAGGAGACCAATAAAACAAAAATTTAAGAAAACTGAAACACCGTCGGGTATAAATGAAATTATACATGTAGAGACATATGTCATAATTAAATCGAGTTTTCTAACAATAATAGATAAATTTTCAAAGTTTGGTGCAGTATATGCATTAAATGAAGTAATGTCTTTATATCTAACAAGTCCCAATGCTCAGAGAGAAACTTGAAAGCACGACCTTATTTGATATGGGCTTTTTTAAATCGAAGTGGCTATTTTTTGAGAAGAAATATTAAAATAAATTTACACTTATTATAAAGCAGGTAAAATTTAGAAAATATATTTGAAAAATCAAAAAAATATATTAATATTTTCATTGATAATTATTTTAAAATTTAAAAAAAAGCGGAAAAACAACAAGCACATTCCTCGCCTTCAACGTTTTATATGTTACTGAAAGCACTTCATTATTTTTAAGTGAACAGCTTTTTTTTCTCATAGGGTAAGTTAAATCAAGATATGGGAAGTAACTTTGGTGTCAAGTTGAAAATATAATTAATGAAAGATAATTATTGAATATTGATATAAATACATAGTAAAGAAAAAATTTGAAAAAGGGAATTAGAAAATAATATCTAAAACACAATCAAATATTATTTTTTAAATACAAATTTTATATAAACTTCAAAATTTTACCTCTATTTTTATTTGAAAAAATATTAAAAACTTACTATCATTTATATCAATTACCTAAGAAAAAAAAATATTTAAAATGTTTGGAAAAAACAATCATATATTTTTATGACCGGATTTGAATATTTTTTTATTTTTGAAATAAATGGTATTTTACCAAATGACTCAAAAATTCCGACTGTAAAATAACAGGTTTTTTAAAATTTTTGTTCTTTATGTAATATTCTTTCCGTTTAGAATTAAGATAGGTCATACATACACATGCAGGGACATTTTATAAATAGATTGCTCTTGTTTACCTGCTCATAAAATATGAAAAAAGAGCACAGCAAAATTTTTGAAGCACTCAAAATAACAATATCACCCTTCACCGAGATTTTGCAAGATTTAAAAATAATTTAAAGATAAAAACTAATATTATATATGATTAGTTTAAAATTTAATGTAAAAAATTATTATCAATATATATAAAAAATTAAGTAAATCTCGGGTTGAGTTATTGCATATAGTAACTTAATCGCCCGAATTATTAGCTTTTTACAAAATTATATTTATATATATCTTAAATGTTAAAAAAAATATTTTGAATGTTTTTCGGAATGTAAGATAAAATAAAGAAATATCAAGGTTAATTGAATGCTACACGACGTGTTTTAGTTATTGAGTGTTTAGGCTTCAAATTGTTTGACAAAACCGTGTATGCAGGCTTAAGTCTATTGATTGAAAATGAAGTTTTTTTTACAATTCATGTCGAATACGAAATGTTTTCTAAATCTACCCACGACTTTATATGGACCTAAACACAGTCACGAAAATATGTTCACAGGCTCCCCGGGGCGGTCGGAATTAAGTTGCGCATTATCTGCTTAAGCCTTGTAATAAGAGAACCGTAATCGGAAGTTGTGTGTTTTGTATCATTGGTAAAAATCTCGCCTGGCAAACGTAAATTTTACACGTAAACCATATTTAAAAGAATAATTTAAAAGAAACAAATTATAAAATTGGCGCAGTCTACGGTACGAACAATTATTGGAAAATAGTGAAAAAAGATATAATTTTATCTAAAAATAATAAGCTTTTAATATTAGAAAAATAAAAAATAACTTTTCATTAACTCCAATAAATAAATTAAAATAAAATAGTAAAGTGTATAATAAATTAACAGTGGAAAACGGAGACACCATTATAATAAAAACAAAAACACTAAACTAAATATTTATATTATAAAAATATTGACTCAAGGAGTCTTATTAGATAAAATATATTTCGAAAGAGATTTAGGGAAAATTATAACAATCATGAGGCCGAGACCTTATGAAGATAGCTGTATAAGAGATGAATTTAAATACAAACAAAATTTTAATAAATATAAAGATAAAAGAAATAAAAAAGAAACAAATGTTAACCGGAGTCATAGTTTTTCTAGCTCCAACAATTATCATAAAAACACAACTTTTAGAAATGTGAATAATTTTGATGTTAGAAACCATAATATCAGTACAAACAATAATAATTTCGATTCAGGAAATTTTAGAAGGCATAGTTTTCGCCAAAATATTAGTAATTGGAATAGAAATAACACAGGTCAGTCAGAACAATATAATAATAGGAATTATAATAGTACTTTTAATCAAAATAACATTAATAGAAATAGTACTAATAATTCAGGCCAGTACAATAATAGTAGGAATAATTTTAATAATTCAGGCCAATATAATATGAACAGAAATAGTGCAAATAATAATAATAGAAATAGTAATTCAGGTCAGTATCGACGGAGCCATAGCAGACAAGATGAAGCTATGGAAGTAGACAATATTCAGAGAAATAGTGTTAGAGAGGATGTTCAATCGAATCATGTTTTTTACAAACTAGCCCCGGAACATCTAACTATGATACAGATTACTATTAATAAATTAAAATATCTAGCATTAGTTGATACGGGGTCAACATTTTGTATAATAGACAATAGAGTATTACGTTTTAAGGAAGTAGAAATAGCTCCGGTCCATTATTCCACAATGGAAAAGATTCAATAAATAGGGAAGTACATACGCCAACTCCAGAACAATTTGGTTTTCCAGTAGGTGCAATGACTAGGTGGAAGAAAACAAATCTTCCCAATAGAAATTATCACTTTATAATAGGAAATGACTTACTGACGAATTTGAACGCTAAAATAAATTTAGAGCAGGGATAAATAATTATGAATAATAAAAAAATAAAATTGTTAAATATTCCATATTTAGCTGATCAAATATGTACTTTAGAAATAGTTGACATAAACATAGTAGACCATCTAAAATTAGACCATTTAAATAGAGAAGAACTGGTAGAAGTTAAAAAAGTAGTGAAAAAATTTGAGGACATATTTTTTAAGGAGGGAGATAGGCTTATCAGCACACCTGAGGTCAAACATGAAATTATAATGATTACGGATCAACCAGTAAACGCGAAATTATACAGGTATCCTCCACAACATGATGAAGAAGTAAGGCGACAGATCAGGGAAATGGAATCGCAAGGAATAATTAGAAAAAGTAACTCCAAATATTCTAGTCCTTTAATAAGTTCCAAAGAAAAGCGATAATTCGGGAGTGAAAAAATTCAGGATTTGTATAGATTATAGAAAACTAAACGAAATAACTATTGACGATAAGTATCCATTGCCTAATATAGACTCAATCCTTGATAAGTTAGGAAAAGCTCAGTATTTTACCACTTTAGATTTAGCTAAAGGGTATCACCAAATCTTAATAAGGGAAGAAGATAAAAAGAAAACTGCATTCGTAACACCATACGGCTTATATGAATATAATAGAATGCCTTTTGGGTTGAAAAATGCCCCAGCAACATTTCAGAGATTAATTAATGACGTACTTAGAGACCATATAAATAGTAACAGTGTTGTATATTTAGATGACGTATTAATTTTTAGTACTTCTTTAGAAGAACATGTAAGAGCTACTACAGCAATTTTTAAAATTTTTAAAGAAAAAGGATTGAAAGTACAGATAGATAAGTGAAACTTTATGAAAAAAGAAACGGAATTTTTAGGTCATATATTGACAAAAGAGGGAATTAAACCAAACCCAGAAAAAATCAAAGTTATAGAACAAGTAAACATACCAAAAACAACGAAACAACTTTAAAGCTTTTTGGGCCTTGGGCCTTTTTGGGCCTCTGGAAAATTTGTTAGGGATTATGCCAAGGTCGCTCAACCTATGACAAAATATTTGAAAAAGGAAACAAAAATAAACGTAAGAGATCCAAATTATGTAGAGGCGTTTGAGAAATTGAAGAGTTTAATAACAAGTCATCCGATACTTAGATATCCGGATTATGAGATATCTTTTACTTTAACGACGGATGCGTCAAACTATGCCATGGGTGCAGTTCTGTCTCAAGAGGGACATCCAGTTTTCTCTGCATCACGAACATTAAATAACCATGAGAAAAATTATTCCGCTACGGATAAGGAATTTTTGGCAATAATGTGGTCAGTGAACTACTTTAGGCCATATCTTTACGGAAAGAAATTCAAAATCTTAACAGATCATCAACCAATAAAGTATCTACACGCCAAGTACAAAGGAAAAGATATGTCACCGAGACAGCAACGATGGTTATTGAAATTGGGAGAATATCAATTCGAAATAGTTTATCTTAAAGGAAAAGAAAACAAAGTTCCAGATTTTTTAAGTAGAGTAGAAATTAATGATGATAAAGAAAATAATAATGATAAATTAGAAGAAAGTTTAGAAAATTTTAATATTAAAGAAGATGCAGATGACGTTACAATGGCAGCGGTACATTCAGCAGAAGAAGAGTTAGGAGATTATATAGGGATAAAAGAAGAAATAGTAAACAAATATAGGACTCAAATAATAATTACGAATAACAAAATAAAAGAAACAGAAACAATTTTAGGTAGAAAAATAATATACATTGAAGAGTATAATTTTAATAATTAAGGTGAAATGTTTAGAAGAAATATAGGTAAAGGTAGAGTAGGTATTTATTCTGAACTGTCGGACACACAATATCATATAGTACAGGAAAAATTAAGAGAAATGTATAGTAATAATAATCATTTAAAATTTACGAAATGTTCCTATAAAGCTCAAGAAGTAGAAACAGAAGTCGAATCAACAAAACAAATATCTTATTATCGTGTTAGGGAAGTGTACATTCAGCTATACAGGAGACATATAATAATATAAAAATAAAAATTTATTACCCAAGGTTACTAGAGTTAGTACAGATAGTCATCAATCAGTGTGATATTTGCAAACAGGTAAAATACGACAGGAGACCAATAAAACAAAAATTTAAGAAAACTGAAACACCGTCGGGTATAAATGAAATTATACATGTAGAGACATATGTCATAATTAAATCGAGTTTTCTAACAATAATAGATAAATTTTCAAAGTTTGGTGCAGCATATGCATTAAATGAAGTAATGTCTTTATATCTAACAAGTCCCAATGCTCAGAGAGAAACTTGAAAGCACGACCTTATTTGATATGGGTTTTTTTAAATCGAAGTGGCTATTTTTTGAGAAGAAATATTAAAATAAATTTACACTTATTATAAAGCAGGTAAAATTTAGAAAATATATTTGAAAAATCAAAAAAATATATTAATATTTTCATTGATAATTATTTTAAAATTTAAAAAAAAGCGGAAAAACAACAAGCACATTCCTCGCCTTCAACGTTTTATATGTAACTGAAAGCACTTCATTATTTTTAAGTGAACAGCTTTTTTTTCTCATAGGGTAAGTTAAATCAAGATATGGGAAGTAACTTTGGTGTCAAGTTGAAAATATAATTAATGAAAGATAATTATTGAATATTGATATAAATACATAGTAAAGAAAAAATTTGAAAAAGGGAATTAGAAAATAATATCTAAAACACAATCAAATATTATTTTTTAAATACAAATTTTATATAAACTTCAAAATTTTACCTCTATTTTTATTTGAAAAAATATTAAAAACTTACTATCATTTATATCAATTACCTAAGAAAAAAAAATATTTAAAATGTTTGGAAAAAACAATCATATATTTTTATGACCGGATTTGAATATTTTTTTATTTTTGAAATAAATGGTATTTTACCAAATGACTCAAAAATTCCGACTGTAAAATAACAGGTTTTTTAAAATTTTTGTTCTTTATGTAATATTCTTTTGGTTTAGAATTAAGATAGGTCATACATACACATGCAGGGACATTTTATAAATAGATTGCTCTTGTTTACCTGCTCATAAAATATGAAAAAAGGGCACAGCAAAATTTTTGAAGCACTCAATATAACATGTTCGAAATAGTTTTAAAATAATTATTTAAAAAAAAATTTATTGGAAGTAGATACATACATAATTATTTTTAATAACTTAAAAACTAACTGAAATTATTTGAAACAATTTTATAAGTAACGTATAAATAACCGAAATGAGATAATTCAAATTGCTGAAATGTGTCAACCTATATTACTTTTAATAACATTTTTGTTAGCCGACACTACTCAACTTACCTTATTGGGAAATACAAAATGTGCATAAAAAATCATACATCCTTCCTCATTAACATTTGAAACCATACTGAAATATGAATTTGAAATTTTTTTTAATTTTTTCTTTCCTCCTACCTTTCTTTCTTTTTCGTACAATAGAATTTAATCCTGGTCCGAATGCCTAACACTATTTGCATTCGTGGACCTCGATGTGCCAGCGATATTTGAATCCTGGGAAGCCTCGTTAATTCAATCCGGCAAATTAGTGAGTTCTCCTAGTGACTTTTCACCCACAGCAATCAAAGTTACATAGATATTTTGGGGCAAACGACGAAGCCATAAGTTCTTTATAATGCTCTCATTAAAAGAACCGCCCGCGAGCTGTTTTATTGATATAAATTCTTTATCTAAAAGTGTAAACGCCCAATTTCGGGCATGGAATGTCTGTTAATGAGGGCCTGTTTAAGGTCTTCGTAAGGCTCGAATTCAGGAGGGGCACTTAAAATATCAATAACTGACTCTAAAGTTCCCGGAGGAAGGAACGCAACCGTTAAACAATACTTCATTTAACTCAATTTCATGTGTATAGAATTTCTTTCGAAATTCTATACACATGAAATTGAACCTTCGCTTGGATAAACCAAGTTGCCGGATTGACAGCCCAAAAAGCTGGCAACTTGAATCGAACCAATTCTAAGTTTCTGTTTTTTGATTCTACAAACGGACTAAACGTTGTATTCAATGAAGATTTTTCAGAAACTTAAACTTTTTGTTAAGAGGCATAGCAGAAAAAATTTAAATTTCAAAAATTAAAAACAAAAACACGAAATTAATTTAGGAGAAAGAAAAAAAATCTATTATTGGGATTAGTTAATATAAATTAAAGTAAAAAGAAATATTAAATTTAAAATTTGAAAGTTTAAAAACAAAATCTTCGCACAAAAAAAAACAATTTAATGCTATTTGAATTAAAATAAAGTTGAATAATAAAGGAAATTTGAATTTAAAATAAAATTCTATAATTGACAATTTCAATATATCACCAGCGAACTTATCAATAAAAATGGTGTAACGTCACTGCACTTTCAACATTTACAATAAGAAATGTGAAAGTAATTAATGGTACACATAAATTTATTAATGTTTATGAGTAAATTTATGACTATTAAATTCTTATGATCAATATGATATTACGAGTATAAAGTAATTCAATATTATGTCTATGCACGTATGCAAATTTTTATAGTATTTAAAAATATACGTATATATATGTATATACAGGGTGATTCAGAAAGGTATACAACAACATATATCATTAGAGGGTCGAAAACGGGTAAAACTTTGGTTCCGGAGTAGGTGCGAAATCTCAAGGGTTTTCGAGATACAGGGATTTCAAACAAACAGTTTCTGAAAGGTCTAGTAAAGGGCTTAAAATAAACACCTTACTTGATTATGTATTTTGTCTACTTTCGGAATACCAATCAATCAAACTTTAGGAAAAATCAAATTTT